TAATTTTTAAAAAAATTAAGAGCTTGTTTGGTAGAGATTAAAGTCGAATTAAAATTGAAAAAACTAGCCGTCATTGTTGACTTTTATTAGACAAGTGGGATCCAATAACGACTATATTTTCAATTTTAATTGGATTTTAAACTTAACCAAACATGCTCTTAATAATTATCTAAATTTTGTAATTATCTATATTCTAGTTATTTCTTTAAATAAGGATTATAAGTCGTCATGACAATTAATTGACTTTAAAATAAATATTATAGCCTTTGAAATTTTCCGATCTTTCAGATTATCGGTATTTAATATTTAAAATCAGCGAGTCCAAATTCACTTTCTGTGCAAATCAAAGTATTTTTTATGCCTAAATTTTTTGTATTCTTAGAAATCAACAGAAATTAGAAAATCATCGTGCTGTAATATTCCTTTGAAAATAACAGAATTTCGATAATACGTTAATTTTGGTCGCTACATTAATATCTATGCAATAAAATAATTTTTTAAGTTTTATCCTACTTATGAGTTGCTTTCTAGTCTTCAATGGAAATGGCTATAAGTATGAAAGGACAAAGAACATGGGAGACAGAAAAATAGTGTTAAGAGCAAACTTTCTTCCTCATTTGTAGACAATTTCACCGTAAAAATCCATATTAAGATTTAAGGGGTGGAGAAAGTGAAACATTAAAGTGGAAAAAAATACCCATTTTTTGGTCAATAATCTCCATTTCGATCATAATGAAGACATATTATTTTTATCAATTTTTGTATAAATTTTAGTAATTAATACTATAGAAATTGGGATTTTTTTTTTTCCTTATGAACCATTTAGAATTTTACATTTTCTCCTACAATTAACTGGCCATTCTTAAATTCACTCAATCTGATAATACATAGATTTCGATTACCGTGGATTTTCTCTACTGTACAACAACAGTTTTCCATTGAAGAAATTGAGCACAGAATTAATAATCTAAAGTTTGACAAAAAATAAAGTGTTTTCATGGAGTGCTATGCGCAATAGGAGACATATGGGTCCCAACACAATCACTATTTCCACCATCTTGCCACCCCATTATCACACTCTCTCGTCTTTTTCTCTCTTCCTCCGTCTCTTTTTGCTCCCAAAAAACTTCATTACATTCTCGTATTTCCTACAAAAAATCCTTAAACTTCCCGTTTCTTGTAATTTTTCTTGATGTTATGGAACCAACTTTAGGCTTACTAGGTGGGTTTGGGGGCGGCGGCGGTAGAGGTGGCGGAGGTGTTGGAGCTTGTAGCACAGCCTTGTCTTGTGATCAGACTGGTTTAAATGTACCAAATTCTGAAAAAGACTACATGGGCATTTCTAAAGAGGCAGAGCTTGAACTGGGATTGGGGCTGAGCCTGTGCAGTGGCGGCGGTAGTGGTGTGGAGGCGAAGGGTAAGGGGTCTGCATGGGGTGATTATGGAAGAATATTGACTGCTAAAGACTTTCCTAACGGGTTTTCAACCGGGAGTGGAAGGGCTGCTGCTGGAACAAAGAGAGCTGCTGCTGACTCTGTAGGTTCTGCTGAAGCTGGCTCTCCTTCTACTGGTGTCAGGTTAGATTTGATTTTTACAGGATGTTGACTTGTTTGATAATATAAATCTTGGAATTCGACTAATCAAACTGCTCGTTTAAGCTTTAAAACCATATTGATTCTTGGTTCCATAGTCAACCTTGTTAGTATTTGATTTTTAAGTAGATGTACTCTGCTATATTGTGATGATTTTAATAATATGATTTATTATCTAAATTAATTCTGTTTGGTTTACTAATTTGATAATGTAACAATAGTTAACTTGTAATATATTTTCTGTAGAACTTTTCTCTTCTATGCAAGTGTTTTCTTTTGCATAACTGTGAAACCCACTTTTTTTTCTTCCTAAGTGGGGTATACAATAAATTGCTGTAAGTTGTCTCGATCCAATTATGATCTATCATTATGTCTGGAACTGTTTTTCTTGTTTTTGAAGTCCATCATCTTTATTCTTTACCAATTTGAAAGATTTTGTAAGACCCTTTAGGGCATGTTTTTTGATGCTTAGTGCTGAACATTACTCGACAGTACAATAGACCGGATTATAGCATTTTCCTGCACTAGGCATGTGTTCTTTGTTTTTGGGTTGGGGGTGGGGGATTTTAATTTGCAGAACTATGCTATGTAGTTTGTATCATGTGTTCTTTGTTTTAAAATTGAATCATTTTTTGCTTTGGAAAGCAGTCAGGTAGTGGGATGGCCTCCTATAAGGGCATACAGGATGAATACCTTAGTTAACCAAGCAAAGACTTCAAATGCTGAAGATGGTGAGGGAGTTGACAGGGACGAAAAGAAGGAGAACTCGAAGAAGAAAATCAATCATGGAAATGACAAGAATGATTCGAACATTAGAGAAAGAGATCATCTCGGGTTTGTGAAGGTGAATATGGATGGATTACCAATTGGAAGAAAGGTGGACTTGAAGGCTCACACTAGCTATGAAACTCTGGCGCAAACTTTGGAAGAGATGTTCTTCAAGCATCCATCGAGGACGATTTGTACGTTTACTTTATGTGTAATCAACAATACAAATTACCCCGAATGAGGGAATTTTTTTTGAATATTTGATTTTATTATCTTATATGCATCTAAGTCTATGAGCTATATAATCTTGCAATTGGGGCATGCTTAGCTGATATCCAATGTATTTCTGTTGTTTGGATCAGGTGGTGGAAAGGAACAATCGATACAACCTTTTAAGCTTTTGGATGGATCAGCCGAGTTTGTGCTCACATATGAGGATAAAGAAGGAGACTGGATGCTAGTCGGAGATGTTCCATGGGGGTATGTCAAAATATATTACATTCATCTCGATATATAGATAATCTTTCATAATGAGCTAGAAAAGTAATATCAACCTCAAAACAACTTGATTAATTCAACTACCAAGAATAACTGCAGAAATTGATGCTCTAAGAAGTTCAAGTCTTTTTTCTAATACGTTTACAGTGAATAACAAGCTCGTGCACACAAGCTCGTGCACACGCACTTAATCCACACTACAATCACAACTTCAAAATGATGCTATTCACATAAGAATTCTTGAGTAATCTTCTTAACATGGGGACCAATATAAGACCTAGTCAACACTACAGGCTGCTGCTAGCTAGGTAGAATTCACTGCTTGCTCATTTTATACTCGAGAGTACTAACATTGTAGCCCGGCAATTGATTTTATGGAAATGAAGGAAAAGTATAATGCAAAACTTCAAATTTCATGCTTATGTTTCACATCATTCAGTACTAACATGTCGATTTTTATTCCTGCGTTCAGGATGTTTCTCAGCACCGTGAAAAGGCTCAGAATCATGAAAATTTCAGAGGCCAACGGACTTGGTATATATGCATATTATGTTACATATCTTCACTCTTCTTCCGTCTTTTCCTCGTTAGCTTCTAAATCTGGTTGATCTTTATGGACAGCTCCAAAGTTCCACAAAAGGAATGAGAAACAAAGGGCCAGAGCAATATAGCAACACTGCTGCTTTGCATACTAAATATTTTGAGAGGATTGAAATGCACTGTTTGAAAAGGAAAACCAAAGGATTAGAGAGGTTCAAGTCGATTATTTTGCTACATCTGTTATTTATTTCTTTTTTTTTTTTTGGGTTTTTTATGGTTGCATTTTTAGTATGCACCCATAGTCTGGCCAATATACCACTTTTACCTTGTAAGCCATATTCAAATAGGATGTTAAGTTGTTCTATGTTATCACATGTTTTTTCTTTCTGAATGCTTGTCATAATGTAAATTTGAGAACGCCTCATATCTGTCTGTCTGTGCTTAGTTTTTCATCAACTCAATGGATTCAATTCTTCCATTGTTGTCAAAGGAATGGATGTGTTGTTTTGGCAAAATGTTACTGATATTGAGATCGAAAAAAGTATTCGTGTACTCGACTCATAATTTATGAAGTTTCTTGTTGTTGTTATTGAGAATGAGATGTTTTAAGAATTCGTGTACTCGACTGCTGAATAATAGCAATCGAATAGAAATTTCAAGAATGATATGAATTGGAAAAATGATCTACGAAATGTTAAAATGCATCTTTATGCTTTTGAACTTCTTGCAATAAACTCTGGGAATAGGGATGGCAACATGGCGGGAAGGGATAAAAAATTTAAACTCAAACATAAAATAAAAATAAAATTTTGGCGATCCTTGCCCCAATTGTGGCGAGACAAGATAGCATTCCATTACATGGAAGATCGTCTCCACTTCCATCCTTGACTAATGGGCCAGGATTGCGACGAAAAATTTTGCGATTCCTATTCAAGAAAGGACACGATATATGAAGTGAAAAGGACTAGAGTGGAGTGTACTTAACATGTCTCTTTCACAACACAATTTTGCCGTGAGTGGCTCAAAAGACATATCATATTAGTGCGAGAACTTGGGTTTGTAGGACTTTTAAGAGACATTTGTTGAGTTACGCATGTTCGATGGAAAAAAAGTTTTATGCTGTGAACGAACAAGATCTCAAGGAATTTTGTCTGAACATAAAATTATAATTCTAATAACGTATATTTTTAACGGGTGATGCTATGTAATATAAATAGTGGACTACGATGACCAA